CCGAATAATTAATGAGTATGAGAAGTCATTTCAAATCCTCCAAATCGGACTGGACGGGATTTCAAAGTCCTTGCAATTAGTTCCAGTCCTCGGCTTCGCCTCGGACTGGAACTAATTGCGCGGACTTGAAATCCCGTCCTGTCCTCATTGTCGGATTTGAAATATTACTTCAACATATACGATCAGTATGCAAAATAAACGAAAAACTATACTCCCAATCTAATGATGAGCTATTTCATATCTTGAAATTACAAGAAATAATCCGTTGAATTATAAATTATATGCGTTTAAAATCTAGTTTCTCGAGAGAAAAAACACTCTTCGATCATAACTTCTTTTCGCATTTCTTCAATTTGAATTGCTAATTAATTTTGAATTTACACCGAGGGGATTTCCGAGAAAAACCATTTGATCTATGAGAGGAATATTCAGCGACAACATTTATCGTCAAAATATAAAAAAGGAAGAAAAAGAACCAAAAAATGACATTTTATTGGTAGGGAATGAAGAAAGGTAAGAAAGACACTTTTTAATTCGAAATATAGAGAATAAACAACAATGCTAACTTAAAGAACAAACCGCCCTTTGGCGAACTCGTGGATACTAGTTGCACTTTCCAGAGATTGGGTTCTCTGTGTCCTTATGCTTGTTGACATTCGAAGGTTTCAAAGTATTTCGGACTTCTATTTGCTATTAAAGTCTTCTGAAAAATAAATTCTGAATTTTATTTTTAATTTAAAAGTCGGGCCGAGTGCTTTATTTTAGGAATAATCCGTATAAGCCTTTTTGGCTAATAAAAAGCATTGCGTTTGTGTTACTACATGAACTAAGAAAAGGAATCCCCGTGCCCTATCATGTGCACACTTTGATGCTATTTTTAGAATGTATTCTAAAAATATCATCTAATGATATCATTTATTTGATCGTTTGATTTTCTGCACGCATAGTACTCGCGCGCTCTACGCTGTTTGCTAACGTTTTCTTGTGCTTTTCTTATGTTCAATTGTTCAAATCTGCGCTCAAGATGACGATGTAGGTCGAAAGCTTTGAAAAATAAGTGTAAAAATACTCCAGAAAGTTGAACAAATTACTACTTCATTTTCTTGTCGTATTTGCCAAGCTTTCGACGTGCACATTCATATTCAGGGCAGAGTCGAAATAACGGAAAAACCCCAAAAACGTAAGCAAACAGCGTAGAGCGCGCGCAGTAAATGCGCGTGCAGAAAAACAAATGGTTTAAAAATAGCATCAAACTACGCACGAGATGGTTACGCTATATAGGGGGAATTCCTTCTCTTAGTTCATTTTCTCTTGTTACTACTTATCTTGGCCTTCAAGGGTCACGGCGCTTTCAATCAAATTGTTGCCTGAAGTTTTCACATGAAACACTTAATTTAAACTGTGAACTAAGCGAATATTTTATAGAACTTGGTTTAGAAATACTATTTCATTTGACCTCATTCAAGTCTGTAAATTACTGATTATTTATTGGAGCGAATTCTCGTTAGTTGTCTCATGCGACATCGATCTATTGAGTAGATTTGTACCTTCGCATTTAACATACCAGAACAAAATCTAAATATGTTGACGATTGTACAGAAGCGTTTAGAACTGCTTACTTTAACACATCAGCAAAAAAAGGTTTGACTCATTGGAATTTTAGTTTAGGCGTTAATCGTATTATTTTATTTGAATTACTTGCGTTTTTCCTTGATTCTTTTAATATAAATAATAATATTAAACTCATTTCTTCATATAAATATCGGAAGTGGTCTATACTGAATAAGAGCTCTTTGTGCTTGTAACTGTCGTGTAACGTTCGTAATCAGATGACGTAAGACGACTGATAAACGTTTAATTATGCACTAGTGAAATGAAACCCCCGCCCCCGACCCCAGGGGCTAGTGGGACACTATTATCTATGATATTTTCCCATTTTCTAAAATTATATATCTAAAAGGTGTTGGTCAAATTTTAATGCGTCTAGTAGCCTTAATAGGTTCTTATGTGGAGGGGGCTTCAAGTGAGAATTTTAGCCTAACAGGTTCTTATACACGGGTTTTGTTCAGTCGTTTCGGTACGTCAGTTCGAATGTAGAATGACAGCATGATTAATCTATTAAGACTACTGCTTCGCAACATTTACAAGCATTGTTCATTTTCAATTTAATACCATTATAAAACTCAGCTGACTACCTAAACGTTTTCGCACGATTTGAGGTTCAGAGGCGATGAAAATATTGAGCATTGAATATTTAGTGCATGAAATCACACAACAATAGACCAATCCCGAATTCGCTTGATTGGTCACGAAACAATGGTTTCAAGTCGAGGTTGAACTTGATGAACAAAAGAAAAAAGTTCAGTCTCGACTTCAAACCATTGTTTTGTGGTCAGTCAAGCGAATTCGGGATAGGTCTATTGGCTCTGTGTAGCACAAGGATTGAAATGTGTTTCTTGTTGACTACTAAATCAACAATAACGGGGCCACAATAATAGCGGGGGTTTTAACAGTGAATGTGCCCCCGACTACCGGGGAAAATGTCTGATTTTAACACCACTCAAATGTCAAATTCCCCGGTATTTCCCGGGGGTCGCGGGGTGGGGGGTGGGGAGTTCAATTGACTAGTGCATTATCTGCTAACATCTTAGTGAGTGAGTGAGCGAGTRACACATTTGCATATTCAGACCCCTCACAATAACTCGTTTCTGCGCTTCGCGTATCCACGAGTTAAAAATGAATGCTCGTTTTAAACTTCAAAACATGGCGTAAGATATTTTCACTTTCGTAAACTAAAACTCAAGTATCGTTTTTATTTTATGTCCTTGCAACGAAAGAATAAGAATCGACCATTAAAATATAAAGCTCAATTCAAAAGGATTTCGAGTAAAAATAATTAAAGAGTTGGTTCTTGAGTCCCCGTATTTGTTAAATTGTCGCAATGTACAAGGACCAAAGTTTGCATGCTGCTTGTGCGCTGTGCGGCCGGAGCCCCATGTATTTATTATCTTATAAAAGCAAAGTATGAAAGCAAAGTTACGCTTGAGATATATATTTATTCAGGGCAACCTTCTAAAAGCTCAGATGTGTCCAAAAGATAATATAATAATAATAAAATAATAATAATAATAAAATAATAATAATAATAAAATAATAATAATAAAAGTCAATAACTGAAAATAAATCCATTGTATTAACGGGAAACTGAGATATGGCGCCAGTATAGAACCCTTGTGGAAGAAGTACGTTGGCAATCCCGTGACTCCGTTTTCAGCATCGAGAAATATCCCTCGCCATATGACAAAACATGATGTTACTGATGTAAACTAAACGCAAATATGTTATTTTTAAAACTGTTATCAGAAGCGTGATGCGTGGTCACATGTCAGGCAATATGTGTTAAATGGCCTTCCATTCTCTTTATGATAAAAGAGTGAATAAGTGAATGAATGAATGATTGTATGAATAACGTTTTCCCACGCGCGGTAAAAGTATGGCATTTTTTATTTACCTCTCGCCTCTCCAGAACAGGCTTGTGGTGAAATTTTCACTTTCATCCCTCGTTGAATACTTCAGGGAGGGTACTCGCCAATTCATTGCGAAAAGAATATCTTAAAAAGGCAAGGTCTTTGATCAAACAGCACCATGTTTATTTCCGAGAAAATATTGAACCCGCTACTTGGGGGAAATCTATTCTTCCATCCAACATAGCTACGGCGCAAAAAAACATCCATGCTTAAAATCCATTAAGGAAGTTAATTTCAATAAACAGTACTAAGACTATTTTTAAATATTTTATTTAACTTTTTGTACTTAATAAATGTACATACATAAATGTTACTGACGTAACTACTTCATATCTATCTGCAAAAATCGCAATGAAAACTGTGACCTTTACAAATAAAGTCAATTAATTAAAAAATATTTTTGTAAACCATGTAATAAATATGCATGCAATGAAAATCCTAATTCTCATTTTTCAAATCTTAAATAGTTATCATTTGTTATGAAATTTCGATTCTTTGAACCTATTTTGATCATTCATCTAATGAATGATACTTATACCCCTAATAATACCAATATCGTATTGGATACTATGATGTCTTAAAGACCTATAGTTCGTGTATATCGACTAACTTAGCCGCTTTGACCATTTGCTACAAGAGCAGGTGGACAAGCTCTTCTGAGTGCAAAGAAGTTTGTCTTCATGATATTCAGTGCGGCGTGAAGTCTTTCTAGAGCGATGGCCAGGCTAAGTGCAATCTGGTTTCGGTTGCGCTTCCCTTTGGTCAGGTTGATTTGGCATGTCTTACATTTCGTCGTATATCTGCTTCCCTAGAAGAATAAAATGATATACTGTAATTAGAACATACGACATACTACCTTTTCTTTTTTCTCCATTTTTTAAAATTTCCAATTCAATCTGTGAGTTAGCCATGCCCTGAGTTTAATCTGCATTTGAATTCGGAAGAAAAACATTTAGTAATTTTCGTACTTACTGGTTTGATAGCCTCGCCAACTTTTATGATTTTACTGAGCAAGTCTTTTAATTCAATCTGTATGTCATTCACGGCACTGACCACCTTGGTCGAGTTGGGAAGGCGTCCGTATTCGTTCTTTGATTCCCGGAGACTACAAAAGAAACACGAAATGACCGAAGAGCTATTCTTCAGTAGCAAGGGTACCTGAGAAGATAGAAAAATGATATTAAGCCATAAGCAAGTTGCCAGTACGGTTGATTTACACGAAGCAATTCGTGTCGTTAGCATGTTAAGCGCGACATTTGTAGGGGAAAATCATAACGTATAGACCCCTAGCATGTCAGACGTCAAAGCAGTTCAATTTTGATAAAGGTAATAAAATACAATTTAATAAGAAAACTAGTTGTAAAAGACAACGTTTCGCTGTCATCTCGACAACATCATCAGGTCTAATGAAAACTGTAAACTNTCTTTGAACCTATTTTGATCATTCATCTAATGAATGATACTTATACCCCTAATAATACCAATATCGTATTGGATACTGTGATGTCTTAAAGATCTATAGTTCGTGTATATCAATTGGCTTATCCACTTTGACTACCTGCTACGAGAGCTGGTGGACAAGCTTTTCTGAGTGCAAAGAAGTTTGTCTTCATGATATTCAGTGCGGCGTGAAGTCTTTCTAGAGCGATGGCCAGGTTAAGTGCAATCTGGTTTCGGTTGCGCTTCCCTTTGGTCAGGTTGATTTGGCATGTCTTACATTTCGTTGTATATGTGCTTCCCTAGGAATAAAAAGAACGATCACAAACTGTCATTAGAACATTCAACATCCTTCCTTTCTTACTTTTTCCGTTTTATTTTTATCCAATTTCCTTCCACCTCAAAGCCTAATACGCTAAATTCCAATTCAATCTGTGAGTTGCCGTGCCCTGACTTCGATCAACCCAGAGGTTGTTTCAGGGTTCGATCTGCGAGTTAGCCGTGCCCTGACTTAGATAAGCCCAGAGGTTGTTTCAGGGTTCAATCTGTAAGTTAGCCGTGCCCTGACTTAGATAAGCCCAGAGGTTGTTTCAGGGTTCAATCTGTGAGTTAGCCGTGCATTTACTTCGATCAACCCAGAGGTTGTTTCAGGGTTCGATCTGTGAGTTTGATCTGTGAGCCCGGATCATCACAAAGGTTGTTTCATTACCAATTATAGAATTCAAATTTGAAAGAAAGAAACATTTAGTGACTTTCGTACTTACTGGTATGATACGCTTGCCAACGTATATGATTTCACTGAGCAAGTCTCTTAATTCACGCAGTGTGTGATTCACAGCACTGACAACCTTGGTCGAGCTGGAAAGGCTTTTGTATTCGTTCTTTGATTCTTCGAGTGTACAATAGAAACAAGAAATGACCGTAGAGCTATTACTCAGCGTCGAGTTTACCTAAGAAGATAAAAATGATATTAAGACCTATTTACACCTTAAGCAAAGTCTTAGTTGCCATTAAAAGCAAGTTGTACGGTCGATTCGTGTCGTCAGGATTTTGCACGTGACATACGTAGGGAAAAATCGTAACGTATAGACCCCTTGCACAGAGTCTTTCGAGGAATTGTTCTGGGCGACAATACGATGGATTTTTTTGCATAAGAAAAGACGCTCTATTGTTTTGTCCCCCTTGACAATTCCTCTAGGAATTCAATACAAGGGGTTTATAGACCCCTTTCATGTGACGTCAAAGCAGCTCAACTTGAGGACAAAACAAAAGACTTTCAATCTCCTGAGAGTGGAAACCTATTGCTCTGTCCAGCCCCCCTCCCCCCAACTATGGGACATCCACTTGCCTCACCCCTCCTTTATTGGACGAAATCAACGCCCATAATACAGCTTGGGCTGCCTGCCTGTGGTTAGATGGCAGAACAATAAAATTCCTTTGCTCTTGGGAATTGAATTTTTTTTCCATGTAAAAAGATTGTATTGTTCCTGCCATCCAACATGGCTGCCGTCACGGTCATGGTGCAAAAGCTCTATATTCGTGAAATAGTACTAACTAATTAGTACACAATAGCACCAATGAAAGAATTGAAACCAAAAGAAATAGATGTGTTTAGTGCTATTTAGTTTTACTGCTATTTAACGGATATACGGTTTGCACTCTATCTTGAATTTCCCATRTACGTTTTGTTATTTGAACTTACAAGTACAACTGTGTTTGACTGAAGTGATGCAGACGATATTAGGTGCAAATCACTGTTTCCTGTCTGAGCAGAACCCGACCAAAGTTTCGTCTTGAAAGGAGAAAAAATAATAATAATAATGACATGGAACAAAAGTTGAGCAAATCATTGTAATACTAACCTGTATTAGTTTGCTCACTATTTGGAGTGAAGTAGAGTTGAAAGCATTTAACCCGTGAAATAAAGAATGATACTCAATATGTGATCGAGTCAAATAGACAAACACGAAAAAACAAAAAAACAAAACAAAAAAAACAAAAACAAAACAAAAATAAAATAAATAACAACCATGGAATAGAACTTTCCCGGATTCGCTTGACTGACCACAAAAYAATGGTTTGAAGTCGAGACTGGACTTGATTCTTTTATTCATCAAGTACAACCTCGACTTGAAACCATTGTTTCGTGACCAGTCAACTATTCGGGACAGGTGTATTAGGGTCTATTAATATGTATTAGTCAGATGTCTATTTCACGGGTTTAATGACTTCACTTTAAAACCACTTTAATTAAGATCTATTAATTAATAAGCCCGAATGGTCTATTAGTCAAAAGTCCTTGTGGCCCGCGAAGGGTTTGGGTTATTTACTCTTACACTCATGAGTGAAATCGTTAAATCGGTCAGATAAATGGATACAAACAATTTTGAAATTAGGTTCAAAACGTGAATTCGCCGCTATTGTTTTCAAAACCTGCACTTTTCGCTACTAGTAGTATATTTCTAATAGAACACTAGTAGCCCAGTCAATCAGAGCGCAGGATTTGTGATAGACCATTGACTCCTAGACCATTCGGGTTGGTCTACTAACTATTTCAAGGTAGGCTAAACTGAACTACTCGAGGCAGTGCAATACGAGGTGATATAGAGCTGTTAAAATGTGACGTATTTCCGGGCCCAACTGTTTACCAAACCTCTAAAGTGAAGTGTAAACTCTGCTTAAAACGATTCGAACTTTAGACAAGAAATCCTGTCATAAAGGAAAAGAAAATTTTTTATAGAGGTGTTTTTCGTTTTGCTGGACCCGGGAGTCGTTTTTCCATACGATCGACGTCACATTTCAAAGATCTATCAAAGTGTTGAATCAACCTAGGTGACTAAGGTACTTACCGGGTGCATGTGCAAGTGGTTGTGCAAATATTGTTTTTCATCTACACTTACGAGTCTCTGGTAACGTTTATAAACCTTTTGCTCGAGATTACCCGCAGCCATTGGAAGTTGATTTATAAGTCTGCGGATGTTGTCATGAAGGTTGCAGTGGATGTCTATTGGACTTTTTGTTGGTTGTGGCGTGGCTTTCTTAGCCGGTGCAGAGGAAACCAGCCTCTGAAACACGAGAGCTACCAAACATACTATTGCAAATATCCCTGAAACTGAAAAAAAAAAATTATCCATTGAATTTTTTATCGATTTTTCTTTTCACAACTGAAATTTTGACTTTTTACGAAGCAGATTTGAGTGGGAAATTCACTATGACATTGGAATGGCTTATACTCTCAGTCTAAACGAATTAAAATCCAAGAAAGCCATACAAGTGCTACGAACGTTTATCACTTGAAAACTATTCGAAAGAACAGAAATAAGACAAGATACAGTAACCAATCAAAATCCAAGAAAGCTATACCAGTGTTTTAACACGTTAAGCACTTACGGAAGCCATTTCAAAGCCATGAAATCCTACGAATTTTTTCCTTTCGCATGAAAAATATTCGAACTGACAGAAAAGTTTATAAAACTGTAAAAAGTGTATATTTTTGTTGATTCTCCAAACGTTTTTAAAGAAAAATTCTTAAAAAGTATAGTTCTTTAACTTTTCTTAAGTTTGGTCGTACGAAAAACACAAAATTGAAATTATACGGAAATAACTCGAATGGTGTCAGCGTCGGGATTTTGATAAAAATCTGCCTGCAACAAAATGTTGTAAAAGTAAAATTTTGAAAAAAGTTAAGGTTTATTTTCGGAAAAGATAAAGTCATGAATGTAAAAGATTAAGAACTTAAACACTTTAAAACGAAACTTTGATTCAATAAGTGGCATTTTTATAAAATGATTATCGCTTACCTTTCATGTTGTCTTTGTTAATCTTTGATATTTTACCTCGTGGTTTGTGGTTGGTATTAATCTTATCCGTTTGAGTTTCTGGAAATTCTAATTTTTAGGGTATCAAATGTCGGTAGATATACTAATTTTTTAAATAAAATTCTAAAAATAATGTTTTACGACGAAAAAATAGAGTAATATATACAAAAATATCATATTTGTACAGAAATTTGTTTTTTCATTTTTTGTTTGTTCGCCGCTATTCTACTTCCGGACTTGATTGTTTTTCGGAAGTAGGAAAATTGTTCCCATTTCCCCCTTCCCATTTTTTCTGAACTACAGTTGTAAGAATTAAAACGTTTATCGTATAAAACACTTGTACTCATTCTTCATATGTTACGTCAAAAAACTGTTAGGACATTCTGACAAGATATATTTTTAAAAATGACTAAAGTTAAGCAATTTAGTTAATACTGAAAAATTAAAAAAAACAGTATTTTTTGATTTTTTTGTTGTTGATTTTTTTGAGTCTTACTTTTACTAAAGCTAGATGTTTATAAAGGCTCTTTTATGCCAATATGTGATTGTTTTTGTGTTCTCCAAATAATATAATTCAAATATTTTTGCCTTTTATTCTGTATGATACCATTTTTCGGAAAGCAGCCTTTAACATATACGATCAGTTCGCATGAAAGGAACTCAGTAAACTCCCAATCTAGAAATACTTTTTTGTATTTTTTGTATCTTGAAATGATAAGAACAGATAAATCGAAATAAAAAATACATGCTTTTAAAAAGGCTAAAATCTAGTTTCTCGAGAGAAACTTTCTCTTGTCGCATTTCTCCAATTTGAATTGCTAATTAATTCTAAACTTACACTAAGGGGATTTCCAAGAAAAACCGTTAGATCCATAGGAGGAATATTCAGCGACAAAATTTGTCGTCAAAATGTAAAAAAGGAAGAAAAACGAAATATTTTATTCGGAGGAAATAAGGAAAGGTAAGAAATGCTAATCCATGCGAAATATAGATAGTAAACAAAATTGTTAAGTTTTAAAAAAGAGATTGGATGCGTGGTTGAAACTTAAAAACGTGGCGTTAGATATACTTCAACTTTTGTAAACTAAAAACCAAGTTCTTATCTTTGTTGTTTTATATACTTGACCAACAAAAGGATAAGAAACGAGGAATAAAATGAAAAGCTCACTAATTTAAAAGAATTTCGAGATAAATAAGCTAAGAGAGAATTGTGCGAAGTTTTTTCTTCTAGTTTCTGAAATCTAAACAGTACATTTCCTAGCTTTCGACAATCTGAATGATCAGACCTACACTTTTATCTGGTCGCTTCCTAAAGTCAGTCCTATAAAAATAGATTCGTAAGAAAACGTTCTAAACCTATCATTGTATTTATGAATATTTTGCAATAAAAATCAAGAATATTCAGTTAATCTAACAGCCGAGAATGGGTTATTTCAATGGAATAAGCATAATGGTGGCAGCGTTAGGATGTCACTTCGAGGCACCGCTTAAAAACAAACACTCAAGCTTCCCTCGTATCTGCTAACTCAGATAGATTTAATTTAAAAGTAAATCCGAAGAAAATCTATAGAAAAAATATCATCCATATTTCGATTATCTTGAATTATCTTTCCAACTCTCGTTTCCCTATAAACGTCCTTAAAATGTGTACAACACATTTCAACACAGATTTAAGATATAATTCTAACTCTAAGTTCATGATTTGTGTGTGTTTTTTTCTCTTCTCTTTATTTCTCTAGATAGGTATGTGAATGAATAAAAGTCTAAAGTCTACAGAATGGTAATAATGATTTTTATAATTCAGTTCTTCCCGCTTTTGACTATAGAAAAGCAAACACACATGAAATCAGTCATATGGTATGAAACATGATCGACGGAATGACAGCCTCGAGCATACACTTCTTTTCGAAGCAAGTCTCCTTGGAAACCAAAGAGTATTCGGATAGTTCCGGCTTTTTTAAGGGGAATTTATCCCCTCTACTTCCTCTGTTTTCTCCCCACCTACAACATTCAAATGGGATTGAAATAATGAAGTCAAATTCCCATTCAGTTAGTACCATCTTCTTCATCATATGCTTTATTTAGTATAACGTTTTAGGAGGTAATATTTTACTCTACTTCCTTTATTCACACTTCCTGTTTTAATTCCTTTCCCATTTTTCATTTCTCAAATTTATTTTTCTCAATCTTAATATAAATCGATCTGCTTCTTTCGGACTTTGTTTTTTGAAAATGAAGTCGAATTTAGTCACTTTTGCTTTTCAATACAGGAAAGTTTTGTCCTTACTATGTTCCACGAACTGGTCTGCTGGAGTTATTAGTTTATTGGTTTAAACCAATTTTTGAGCGTACCGGCAAATTGATAAGGCAAACGAGAAAAGTTATGGCTTTATACGTTTTTTATACAAGAAAAAAATAAGATAAAATAAAATAAAATAAAATGATTAAAAATATGAATATTGTCTTAAATTTGTCTCTACACGTTAAGGGTACTGGCAAAAGAAAAGACGACAGAATGAAGGCAGAGGAAAGATATCGATTTCATACCGCTTTGAGATTTGCCTTTGAGTGTGTAGAGAGAGAGAGAAAGAGGGAGAAAGAGAGAGAGAGAGGGACAAAATAAAGAAGAAGCTGTCTATTTGTATCATTCTATGTTGCTCTGGATTCGGATTTTTCTCGTACATTCAGTCTTTTCCTGGGAGAGGCTAGTGGAGCAAGTCATTGGTTGAAGGGTTAACACACCTCTTAATGCTATAACAATTAATCCTTTTCGTATTAATTTCATAACTATTCCTTATTTTTACTATTTATATATTATATTCTTAAGTGCCAGTAAGTGTGGTTATCATATGAGTGGGAAACCTACGTTACAGCACGTACACGGTACGACATGCCGTAACATTGAAATGGCTTCCCATTGTCTTCCGCATTAATTCATCCAATCACAACGCTTTGTTACAGATACGGTACCATAGTAAGATACGGTCCATGCATCTTAAAGCACGATTTAATCAATAAGCGTTTCCCACTTGAAGTGAAAATCCTTCTAGTGCATGGTTATCCGTGCACGTAAAATTATGACACCATCTCGTGCTTCACGAAGCGTTACTAAAGTTTAAATTTAGAATACCAAATTCCACAAATATCATTATCAGTCACGTAGATATGTTTCTAAGTGTATAATAATATCTTATATACATATTAAAATATGGAAGATAGATACATAGTTGTATACCGCGCGCAAACATGAACAAACGGTGAATTGGATAAAGATTAGCTTGAAAATGACTTTTTCATGCGGACGCCTTTCAAAACAAAGATGTTTCCTTGAATCTTATCGAAAATTCTACATCCATGACTGAACAAGAACTCATATAACTAGCAGTAATTAGTACCTTAGAATCGATAAAAGAATAGAAAACAACAATAGACATAGCATTATTTTGTAGCATATATGCATAATATATATATTCAGGTACATTGTTGTTCGTGTTTAGTTGGTTCAGTTGGTTGTGGCTGAACTGGTACATTCAAAAGGCGAGAATTGTAATTTTTTTAYATACCAACCCATAGAAGTTACAGAGGGATTATCTTAACAAAATTATCACAATCTATAAGGGCACTTTCATGTATCGATCTCAATTTGATGCTTTATTTTAAGATGTCAATGTGAATCACAGTTTTTTTTGTTTTTTTGTTTTGTCGTGTTCTGATAGAACTTTTACTACACCATCTTCTAATCCCTGGATTACAATACCAATTTTCTGACAATAGTACCATTATTATCCGTCTTTCACCTAATCCATCAGATAATCCAGTGTTAAAAACCATTCACGATTGAAAATAAACAAATCGTGACTAATAATATTAATTATTATGGGACGTCAGTGAATTTTGGGCATTGCATATAAGGCACTCGAAGTGAAACACCATATTCAGTATTTACCAGACACAAGATTGGACATTGGTCCTAGAATCAATGATGAAATATCGTGTAAGCACGAGCCGTAGTTCGAATATTTCTTCACTCCTCCATGGCCGCTTCACCATTAAAGTTGTCTTACTCGACAACACAGAAGTGTCCTTCAAGTTCGAAGAGCGCAAAAAGATTTTGGGGTCCGAGCTATTTGAGAAAGTCTGCAAGAATACCAAGATAGAGGAACCTTGGCGAAAATACTTTGGCTTACAGTATGTTAACAAAAATGATGGGAAAAGAGATTGGTTAAAAAAAAACCAAGTCGTTAACCAATGTCCTTCAAGTGTGCCAGGACAATTTCAGTTTGCTGTAAAAGTTTTTCCAGATACCCCATCGGATGAAGATCAAGTTGTACAAAAATTACTCGTTTTTCAAGTGAAGGAGTATCTTCTTCTTGGGAATTTACGCACCACGATCCAAGAACAAGCTCTTCTCGACAGCTACTTTGCTCAAGGTACGCTCGGGAACTTCAACCAAAAAAAACATTTTAATGGCTACTTGGAAAAATTCTTGGGCTCATTTTTCTGCAATTCATTTTCCGAGATGAGTAAAAATCTCTACGAGCAGAAAGTACAGACACTTCACAAGTCGCACCAGGGGATGGCACATTGTGAGGCCTTCAAAGCGTTTCTTTCCCTCAGTGCCAGTATATTTGGCTATGGGACATTCGTCTACAAGCGAGCAGTAGACATGAATGGCAAGGAATTTATTCTAACAGTCTCCTTCAAAGGCATACAGATATTTTTGCCTAACATCTATGGAGAACCTGAAGAGCTTGTCCAAGAGTTTCCTTGGGATACGGTAGTTTCTTTCGTTAGTGACAGCTCCAAGTTCCTGTTCTCTGTCTGCTCGGCTCACAAGTCACTTCAGACCCACAGTTTTCGCTTCAAGGGACAATATGGGTATCTGCAGGCCAATAGGGTATTCACAGACGCTGTGTATCATAGAGATTTGATCTTGGCCTTAAAATCTATTCAAGAAAGAGAGCCAAGAAGCAAATCCCTGAAGAGCGAAAACTCCGCACGACTAGAGCGGCTCCTTCCAGGAAGGGGCATTGACAAAATGATCTTAATGCCAACCAAGAAAACGGAGGTTTAATTTTTTTGAACAATTGCACCTTACTTAAACTGATCATGAAGTATCATCTAATATAGTTTCGCTGTACGTTTAAGGTGGCTCCGTCCACACCTCTGATTTAAGGTCTTCAAATACATCTATCTTATTTGGAGCGATCAGATTTTTATTTCAGATTTTGGACGACGGTGACAGTTTGCAATAATGTAGGTTTTAACTCTGACTCGACGTTACCAGATTAACTATAGGCAATTATCCTTGAATTTTTCAACAAGTATTTATTAATTTTTTCATGTAACCATAAAAAGCAAATTTATAATCAAGTAACAAGACAACTGGGTTGCCCAATGTGCTGATATGCTGGAGATTATTTAAGCACTAATCTTTGTTATGTACCACTATTTAGGAGGAGGGGGTACTTTGGAACATTTTGGGTGTATTTTTCTTTCAAAACTTGCGAACACTTATTTTTTCTCACATCAAATTTATTCCAAAGTACCCTTTTTGAATGTTTTAAAAATAAAAAAAAATGTACCGCTTTTGTATATCTTTTAACCATTGAAGTGCAATAAGATTCGATTAATAAAACTATGCAGACACGGTTTTGTAACCGGAGAAAACAGCTCTGCGTTACTGACGTCGCTTAGTTTTAATAATAGGCTTTCTCTAAAACTACACTGACGACAATTAACTTGAACTGAAGAACCGTGCACATGTCCAAATAAGCGACATAAATTCATTCAAAATGTTTAAATGGTTATTTTATTTTATTATTTTTTTGCTAACCGTTCTGAAGTTCTCGATCTCTCCATTATTGATTATATTCTTCAAATATAATTTTCTTAAATATCCAAACTTAGTAGTGAAGTGGAATGAAACTCGGCTAGTAAAAGGATTCAAAACTTAGCGAAAAGTAGCCACGGCCAAAGTTACCAGCTTTAATTGATTACCGCGTAGTATTTAACGTTATTTATATCGATATTGATATTGATCGAACTTGTACAGGCTTATGAAAAACTAGGAATACATTTTTTCCCTAAACTTATTGCTTTTGTTGAAGATTTAAATCTCTAATAAAAAATGGATTAAGAAAAAAGAGAAAGTTCTTATGTGGATAAGATGGGATTCGAACCCACCAAAAGAAATCTTCAAAAAATCGATTCTACTTTGCCATACCCCCGAGACATCCGCAGAGCTGAGGCGGCGTATGGACTTCGGACCTGACGGCGATTAAATCCTTCTGCCCTTGG